TTGGGATGATGTATGAACTCACTCTAAAGTTGCTTCTGAATCAATAAACTTATTATTATTCATAAAAAAAAAAGAGTTTGACTTTAGATAATAGAATGAATCTCATTATGTTACATACTTTTTATCATCTGAATTCGAAAATACTCCCTGTCATCATTGATAAGTCCCCTCACTCTCTCTCAAACATCACTCCTCATTCTCCATCTCTTTCCTGCATCATCAAATCCCCCACCCCTTAGTACCAAAAAAAGTTCCATGCCCTCTTCATCCCTCTATCATGAAGATTTAAATTAAATATGCTTACCAGAACTTGGAGCTTCCAATACTAGTATCTGATGGTTTTGTTTTACTTAAAACTTAAGCACCATTTTAATTATCAAAAAGGAATTTAAGCACCATTTTATGATCTTATTACTTAGATAGCCACTATGATTAAAGCATACCAAACAAACTTGCATATATGATGTAAAAAATTCCTTAAATCTAGCATTTGCCCAAACAATATCAACTTTTCCCCCTTCATTTTGAAATTTGATATTCCACCAGCTGACCAACATAGTTCAACTGTATAGAAGACCTATAAAGCTCCTTTCAACTAGCCCTTCCCCAAATCTTATAGGAGTTACTCATAAAAAAAATCATAATAGGAGTCCTTAAAAACCTCTAATTTTAAACCACTTATGAACTAATTCTGATAAAGAGAACCCTTTTTATATAATAGAGGAACATGACCATCTTTCGTTCTTGACATCTGTGTTATGTATGTGGACATATGTAAACAGGTATCCCATGTAATATCCTTGTCTCATGCATTTATATCTAGTTTTTTTTTTTTTTTAAAGCTAAATGTCCTTTCTCAAGATTTATGTCTAATATAATTACTAACATGTAGAGATATTTTTATGACATAACTTGTTAAAAACACCAATTCACATATTTAAAAGTGTTAATGCAATAGAGTACAATGTAGAAGCATCCGTGCAGCATATGTATGTAATAAGTATTGGCATAGTTTTCAAGGCACCAAGGTGAGACTAGGTAACGAGGGGATGCCTAGTTTCCTAGGTTCTATAGCAATTAGCAACCATCTTACATTAATGATTATCTATAATCTTCATAAAAAAGTATAAACTTCATATCAAAATATAAAAAATCAACATATTCATGAGAAGGAAAAAAAGAAAGAAAAGAAAATTTAGAAATATAGGGGTTGGTCTAGGGGTGTAATTGAGTCAAGTTGAGCCTAGTATTAGGTTACTCAAGCTCAAGCTCGACTCAAAAGCACAAAGTTCAAAACTCAACTCAAGCTTGATTGATTTTCATGTTTTTGGCTCGAACTTGACTCGAGTTGATCCTTGCGAGCTACTTGAGCTTAACTCGACTCAAGCTTTTTTTTTTTTGAAAATGAAAATGTTTTTTTTTTTTGAAAATGAACTCGACTCAAGCTGATTATAAATAAATTAGTATTAAAAACTATAAATACATTAATATTAAGCATATTAAAAATACTAAAAATAAAATATATTAACAACTTATAGATAAATTAATATTATAAATATTACAAATAGAAAATATATTAGGGTCTGTTTCATTGCTAAGAAAGGATGGGATGAGAAAAGGAAAAATTATTTTCTCAGTTAGTCATAGTGCGTTTGTTTGCTGAGAAAATTTTTTGTGAGAAAATCCATTTTCCATTGTTTTTTTTACAAGAAAATTTATATGAGAAAATATTCCAATAAGCTGTTCAATCATCAAAGAAATGCTCCCTTATTTGGATTTGTTCATTCATCAAAGAACCTACTCATACATTCATCATTCACCAAAATCCTATTCATTCATCAAAAAACCTGTTAATGCATTCATAAAAAAATTATACTGGGAGTTAAAAGTGCTCCATTATTTGGACCTGTTCATTCATTGAAGAAGTTGTTCATGTATCCATGAAAAACCTGTTCATGCATTCAATAACCTATTTCATAAAAAAAATCATCCATACATCACTAAATCAACTGAAGTTGTTTTTAACTTGTAATTAGTTCATTCAATGCCACTAGTTCAACTTGTCCATTCCATGCACTCATAATCACCCCATATACCAATAAATTCATTGATGTAGAATATAACCATACATTCCACTTAACACAAGTATAGTTTAATAATCATCAAAATAAAGTAGATTAACCATCACAAAAAGGGGACAACCATCAAATTGCTAATGCATCCCAAAAAAATATACAAAATGGATGCAAAAGCTTAACCATCAAAATAAGTTTTTGTCATATATAGTTTAATACTTAATACCTAGTTTGTTAGTTGTAAAGTTCAAGTCTCTCATTCCTTCCTTCAATATGGAGGCCCCAACTTCATTTGAAACCACGTCTTACTCAGATGTGGCTCCACTCCATAAAATGTCATAACTCAACTCTTAGATTCAACTAAGAAGTCATATGCTTTCATTAGAAATTCCACCGAACATCCTTCTAGACTTATAACATTTGCATACACTTTCTCCTTGTTGAATAAACCAAACCCTCTCTCAACTGTAGATGCAAGTTTCCCAAGATGTGTAGCAATATCTAGCACTTGTTCAATGACAATTGAAGCATATGACTTTTGTTTTCCTAAAACTCTTCCCTCTACAGAACTACTTGTCTCCACTGGCCTTTCCTAAAGGTTAAGATCTCCAAAATTCTCTACCTCATCAATGTCATTAAACACATGCTCAGCATTCGGTGTTGCACTAGCAGTTGTGGAAATTGCATCTTGCTCGTTTAGCTCCTTGGCTGTGAAAGCACCATTTCAAGTCACTTGATCATTTCCACGGACCAATGCCAATTGGTCATAGTTGGGAATGCTTTTTCGTCTAAATTGCTTTGCCTTTGGATGTGCTTGCTCAGTTACCATGGGAGTTTCATTATAAGTCATCTTTCATACTAATTCGAAAATTAAGTGCTTAAAGAGAGTGTTATTAATCTATTTTACCTCAATATATGTAGCCCAAGCATCAGGTGTTGCATCTGTTGTCTTGGTTGAATCATTCCATGCAAAGCCACTTTGATTCAAAAGTTTTTTTTAATATGACAAAGTTCCGCTTGATTGTTTTCAGCCTATTCCGTATGTGTCTTTGTATATAGTCAATTGAAAACTCCGTGCTAATAGCATGTGCCGCTGTAGTGTAGGCAGGTGCTTTGAAACTTTTGTCAACCTTATCCATATCTTGGGTCCAACTCATGTTTGATTTTCCATTCTTGTTTTCAGGTTGAGAGCTTGGAGAGTCCATTTCTGTTTTATGCCAATAGAATGAACAATGCAATTCAACAACATATATCCATAACACTAATTAGCACAAGGTATTTTTATATAAATAGAAATATGCAATTACTAAACTCAAACATCATAATCATTTAATAAAGGAGAGTGCACACAGAAAAAAGTAATACAAAAAGAGCTCAACAAAAGTTATATCATAAAGAACGGGTTAGACAACATGAAGAAAATTAATGTCGAGTCCTAGATCAATACAAGACATAATCAGCCCACATCTGGGTAGCTAATTCATCTCTGAGACGAATTCCTTCCCTTGATTGTTCATTTCTGCTAGCTCGTTGAGAGGCTTGGGAGAGTTGTGTATTGTCTACTATGTCATCATTTAAATCATCCATTCCTGTATCATCCTTAGTATCAACTGCTTCTTGAACATACTGACGCATGATGAAATCATATGGATCCATACCCATGACATGGTTGTGCAAGACACAACATGCAGACGCAATCTTCACTTGAGACTTAAAAGGATAATGTTGTTGAGATACCAAAATTGGAAGGTGTTTCTTCAATACCCCAAAGATCTGGTCAATGGGATTTCTAAGTGATGAGTGCCAAAGGTTAAACAGTTCTTTTGGGTTCTCAGGTTGATGTGCACCCCATTCCTTCAAATGGTATTGTGGGTTTTGATATGGTGTAAAAAATCCAGTCTTTAATGAAAATCTTGTCTATGAGATAATATTTACCTATTTTAAATATGAGAAGTTAGAAAACGCATATATACTTACCTATTAAATAAAAATGTCTTTTGTGAGAGTTTATTAATACCTTGAGGGACCTTTGATTTATGCTCCCTCCTCAGAGCGTTGTTAAGCATGTGAGAGCCTGATGCAACAACCTCCCAACCAGGTAATACATATGTGAACCACAAATTGAAAGAGCATGCAACAAGGATGTTTTGTGTGGGGTAAGATTTACAACCTCGGAACCTAGCAACATTAGCAGAAGGGACTTTCACAGGGAGGTGTGAGCCATCAATTGTCCCAATGCAATCTTGCCATTATCTGTATATATTTTATTATGCATTATTATGGGCGTATATGTCATAAAGAAGACATTGTGACTTATGTTACCTTGAAATATGGCCAAAATCAGGTCGGTTTCTAATTTCTGGAGGTGTTTCAGTAACACTTGGTTGAATCAAGTACCTATCATCTAATCTCAACAATGCATTCAATACATTGTTGAAATGATGGCTTACAGTCTCACCAAATCGATTGAAATGAAAACCCATTGTTCTATTCTTAACATTGTGTGCTAGTATGTATAGGAAGCATGTCACTTGTTCTTCTACTGTGCAATTCAATGTATCATGTCTCACAAATAATCTTGCATAGCTTTGCAAAGGTTGCTTTTCCCATTCTCAATTGATTATAACAATCTATTTCTTTTTTGTCCATATAGTCTATTCAATAAATCCCTCTGTTCTAAATCCCGGTTTACTGATGATTCCCTATCAATGTAATCCACATATTCTTGCAACATTGAGAATGTAACCACAACCATAGCAGTTGCAGTCCCAACAATTGCATGAAGCAAATTTTGGTCCATTTATCTATAGTCTATAGACAATAAATAAATAAATAAACTGGGGGACTCATTCTAGAATGCCATATAATTTGCGTGCTAGAAAAAAAAAAATATATATCAACGATGAATAAGTTTAAGTGTGTACTACTCTCTTAAAATTTTATTTCAGCTTTCTTTAATCTTAAATTTTGAATAAATGTAGATTTATAAATCTGAAATTTTGAAAGTTTATAGGTTTCTAACTCAGATTTGGATACAAAACACCCTATTCCCCTTTTTCCTTCCCTCATTCCTACTTATATTCACCTAATATATTGATAAAATATTAAGAAAAAACACATACAAGTACAACACATCAGGATTGGATTATTTTTTTCTTTTTCTTTCTTTTTTTTTTCGTAAAAAACTTGAATTGTGTTGGATTACCTAAGGCTTCATCCCAACCTCAATCTAGTTTCAACACATATTGGGATTTTCCAACCTGACCTCACCCAATTTGGTTTCAAATTGGATTGGTGTTTCCAACGAGGGTCTATCAATGGTTTAGTATTTTCACTTCACATAGCCCCTGTTTCAGTTCTGAAATCTCTAGAACAAAAATCCAAAGAGATTTCCTTTGGCATGGTTTTGATGGTGAGAAGTACTTGCATCTTGTGCCTTGGCACCAAGTTTGTTTACCTAAATTACAAGGGGGTAGAGTAACTTATTAACCTCTTACAGTAGTAAACAAAGCTGAGGTTGAGTGATTCAAGGGAAACATGGACAGGAAAATCAATTTTGGACCACATATGAGGTTGAGTTCTCTTATGGGTTCAGCACATGGAAGGGCACATAGAAGTTGAATCAGATGTTATGGAGGAAAGTCATTTTCAAACCAGGTAAGGATGATCGGATTGCTTTTTGGACTGATACATTGTTGTAAAATCAACCTCCTGGAAATTGTTTCCAGGGGTCTGGCAATTATTAAACAATATATCTTATGCCGGGCTGAAGTTGAAGATGTTACTCATCTCTTGATTTGGTGCCCAGTCTCATGTCATATTTGGTGCTATCTCCTGTAGATGTTCATCAAGTGATCTGCAATCTTCGGTTGTGGCTTGACCATCATAGTTTGAGAGATTCTCTCCTTTTTCAGTAATATAATACAATATTTTACCTTAAAAAAGGTTTATAGAATATCATCTATTACAGTGACACCAAGTACGTGTATACATTTGCTTGTTGGCCCCTTGCTTTCTATAAAACTTTTTCGTAATGATAATTTTCATGTTGTAGACTTCAACCCTAATACTAGGCTATCTGTTGGGGCTATTTCTGGTCTTGTAGCTACTGCATGTGTGGTTCTAATATTGGTTTTAGTAACTCTTCATATGAATGGTTACCTAGGAAGAAAGGACCTTGAATGGTAAAAAATTCATTTAAACTTGTATTTTATAGATCAACATAAACTATAAAATCCAGTTTTCTTGATCTTTTTTTGTCTTTTTTAGTGGCTAATTCATGTGTCAGAGCCTTTATAGGGGAAATGTTCCATAAATAATCCTTTTGAACTTATTTGCATGCTATTCTATGACTTATCACACAGCGTTGTTAACTTTTTTTTTATAATTTCTGAAATATCTAAAGATGAAGGTGCTCTTGAACTAACAGGCTACATGGAAAGGTTTGAGGATCCTTTGACTTTACTTATCCATGATGGTGTGTAGAAGGCCTAATCTGGGAAAATTAAAGGGGTTTTATGGCTAACATTTTGTCATTGTTTGATTGAATGTCATTTGTCATGTTTGAAGTAACCAACCTCTTCTACATGTTCATATACATCCCTTTTGCTACATAAAGGATATGATGTATGACAATGCAATTTAAAACTGCCTACTTGCTGATTAGAGTAGAACATAGGGGTGGAATAGAGTGGGATCAAAGGGATTATATCATATGAAATTATGTTGGTTAACTTAGGCATGGAAAAATTTATATGAATAATAACAAAGAGTTAGTAATAAAATTCAAGAATCAAGCATAGAATATGTTATCAAGTTTCAAAAGCGTTCTCATATATCTGATTTTTCCTCATGTCGATCTTTCATTAATAAATCCTTGTTAAGTAAATAAATAAGGAATTTAACCTATACACTATACTTTAATAAGCATTAACATCACAATAGGAAAATAACTAAATTTTAGTTGGCCTTGAGGTAAGCCGCATAGAAATGATACCAAAGAGTGTGAAATGATACCAAAAGGTTTGATACTGTAAAAACTAATAACTAATCAATTGATACTGTAAAAGCTACTTAGAAATTCTTATACAGTTTTCTGAAAAACTGATAACTAATCAATTTATCAGTTCAGGCCTCATGATCTAGGCTGTTTGAAGGGTATCAAATGAATTTCCTAAGGTTAAGAAAATGAATGTAGGTGACCACTGTGTGGTAGATTGGTAGCACAAAAAAAAAATACAGATTTTGCAGAGATTGGATGAAATACAAAAAAAATCAAAGATTATATTTAACATGTGCAAGCATTATTATTGGAGGAAATAAGAAACAGAGATTATATTTAACCCATGCAAACATTATTACTGATTTTGCAGAGATTGGAAGGAATAAAAACAAAAACAGAGGTATGTTTAACCTTTGCAAGCATTATTACTAATTTTGCAGATATTAGAGGGAATAAAAACAAAAAACAGAGGTTATATTTAACCTTTCAAGCATTACTACTGATTTTGCAGAGATTGGAGGGAATAAAAACAAAAAACAGAGATTATATTTAACCTTGCAAGCATTATTACCAATTTTGCAGAGGTCGGAGGGAATAGAAAACAAAAGCAGAGAAAAGAACAACCAAAATAGAATGAAGATACATGGGAAACAATGGGAGAGAGAGTAGGGGCGTTACCTCAAGCTTGGGAACAAATACGTTCCTGGATTTGGCACATATCTGCACAAATGAGGTGAAAATATCAGATCTGGAAAACCCATGTGTATTTGGACGTTTTACAAAGGGAAATCACATATAAGGCATAAAGAACGATAAAAACCCCAGTGTGACCAGATCTCACCTTTGGGTTAAAATGAGAAGAAAAATAAAAAAGGGCTAGATGAATGCTTGTGAAGAATGCGGTTTCATTCTGACAAAACCTCTGCCAGAGACAATTAAGACACCAACTGAGCTTGTAGGCAATGAGGGGAAAAACATGGAGATGGAAAAGAAGGAATAATGGACTGAAAAAAAAAATAAAAAATGGGTAAAATAGAATCACCAAATCAAGCTGTTCATGGATCTTGTCTTACCTTCCAAAGAGATGTTCGGAGAAGTCATCGGAGATACAAGCGTTGGGTGCTACTTGCAAGGGAGACAAGACTGTCAATCTCCTGTTCTGACAAAGCCCGATAAATTTTCTCAAACGTGTCTTAAACTTTTCTTTTCCTACTGGGTCGCACTGTTTTGGTGCGATCCCATTCACTTGTTTTTGGGATCCCACGTCCCCCTCATTTCTCATCCCAAAGCATTGTATACCAGTAAACAAATATAGGAAAGAGGAATCATTAAAGAATATTCCTCTTTTCCCATCCCTTTCTCAGCAATCAAGCAGACCCTTATGGAAATCAATTATAAATTTATTATTTATATTATAAATACAATATATTAAAAAGTATTTTTATTATGAGCTCAATTAAGCTCTTGAGCCATTCGAGCCAGGTATTGCAAAGCTCGAACTTGGCTCGACCTAATACTTAACTTGAGTTGAGCTCAGCTTGAGCTCAATTACTTCAAACCAAGTTTGTGAGCTGAACCCACGTAGCTCACGAGTAGGCTCGACTCACTTACACCCCTAGGACAGGCCCCTGTTTTTGTCCCAGGAAAAGAAGAAAAGAAACTTCCTTGCTTATTGGTTCTGGTTTTCAAGTGTTTAAGACAGCAAACACCAACATATGTGTTGTTTGAACCTTAACAAATAAGAATGTAATTAAAAGGAACTAGTATGTAAACCCACAAAATGGGTATTTTAATTTAATAGTGTATATTTTATTGTTATAATCTCAAAAAAATTAAGAATATAAAAGTATTTCATAGTGCCATATAGCTTGGTGATTGAGGCAACCCTCCATGTCACCTAGGCACCTGCCCAGATTCACCTTGACAATTATGAGTATTGGATATGATCCCTGTATCCTAGGCATGTATAGATATGCAGGTATCGTAGATATACACACATTAAGATTTTATTAATAATGAGAGTCAAAGTCTAGAAGAGAGACAATACCACAATGAAAACCTCCAGGGAGCCAACCAAAGAAACTAAAAATTGATCATACACATCAAAAGATAACCAAACCACCCTGGGAGCAATGAACTCCAATACATATCTCTTCTCTGTACTCCTGCCCCAGCCAAGCTATCAACCAAAACACCATATTATGTCTTAATCTGTCTTTACTTGTATCTTGATGTCTAAGCTTTGGTTGTATATTTGTTTCCAATGAACCCAATACAGATCTCTTCTCTGTACTCTTGCCCTAGCCAAGCTGTCAACCAAAACACCATTTTATGCCTTAAGCTGTCTTTATTTGTATCTTGGTGTCTGAGCTTTGGTTGTGTATTTGTTACCAATAAAAAAACTTTGGTTGTGTAATCATATTTAATATTCATATTTTTGTCAGTTTTCATTTTGCACCTCATAGCTTTTATGCATTCAATTCTCTTTTGTGACTTTAAATTTCTTGCCCTCCATAGGATAATGTAACAGCATACAACATGTCTTCAGCTCAGGATCCATTTTACATTGTTAAAGAGGAGATTCAGGAATCTGTAAGTCTAAATTGTTAATGTGGTTTCTCCATTATTTGTAATACAATTTTGTTCCTTTTGTTAATAGCATTTACCTGGTACTGGTACCATATAATGTAATAGGTGGGATATGTACTACCATATCAACCTTACTACAAAATCAATGTACTTAGTTAGGGAGTCATGATTTCATATAAAAAAAGTTAGGCACATTGAACGGTGGGTCTTTTATTATTATATGCAACATTTAAGTGTATACCATAGTTCTAGTAGGTCAACCATGGACTTTAGATCTTGTTGGATCTCAGATATTCTTTTGGAGGGTTAGGAATAAATGTCATTGAGAACTTCTCCAGTTGGTCTAAATATAATAATCTAAGTGGCTACTTTTTAACCTTGATGACTTACCATCTATGGTCATACTAGCAATTCCATTCTCTCCATAAGAGAGTATCCTTCTACAAAGAATAATAATGATGAGGAGGAGGAGGAGGGCAGCTGGGATTGGCTCGTTACTGTGGAACGTTCAGGATTATCCCATTGTATGACATTTTTACATTATAATCAATAAATATTTGTTTTGTTACTGGCAAAAAAAAAAAAAAAACTACAGTCAATATCATTGAGAACAGACAAACTGCTGATAAAAAATAGAAAACAGACAAAGAGAAGCTTTTGGAGTTAAGGTTTTTAGCAGTTGGCATTTTAAATTTTCTAGGGCAAAGAGAAACTTTTGGAGGTAATTAATGGAGCATGAGGGTAGAATGGAGTGGTTATAATTGATTAATTGTTCTAGTGGAGAACTTATGTTTATCATGCACTTGACTGTCCGCTTCTATTTTTATTTAGTTTTTCCTAAATCCAGGGCTTATGGATAGAGTTAGAGGTAGGATGTGGACAGTGTTACAAGTGTTCATGTTAGGCATGCTTTAGATTCTAACAATCCATGGATTCGTGAAGGACATTTTACGTTAAACTTTTCCCCCTAGATTATTTGACATAAAGGAATGGCAAATTTACACGTTGAATGCTATTTTCCTAAAAATGTTACTTAGTAACAAAAACGAGCTTATAGACCTTTTTCTATGTAGATACAATGCTAGAATTCAAAAACTAAAAATGGTATATAGATGTGTCTGTGAATATATTTTTTCATCTTGCTGAGTTAGACTCCTAGACCAGGACCATGACCATGAAAAACTGGATGTAAATGCATCAGCGATACTTTTTTTTTTTTTTTGATCAATAACAGAAATTTTATAAAAAGAGAGAGAGAGAAATTACAACCAGGAGGGAGGGGTAAAAAGACTTAACCCTCCCTAACGAACTGAAAAAACATATTACAATATAGCCCAAAAAAGATTTGTTCTTCCCACCCCCTGTTTGGCCAAGGTATCAGCCATGGAGTTGGTGCATCTCTTGCCCATTGAACCCTTACAGACATATTCTGAGTTAACTGAGTAATTTTCTTTCTTTCATTAGAGAACTTCCACAAGCTGGACACTTCCTTCTGCAACCATTTAATAGTCAACTGAGAATCTCCTTCCACCAACAACTTACTAATATTCAGTTGTTTAGCTCTTTTAAATCCTTCTAGAGCTGCCAAGATTTCAGCTCTCAATGAGTCCCCCCCAGCCTATAGGTCCTGAGAACATAGCAATGATTCTACCTTCCTCATCCCTGAAGATACCACCTATACCAATATGGCCTGGATTTCCTTCACTGCTACCATCGAAGTTCAATTTGATGAAACCCGGAACTGGTGGAGTCCAAACAGGTCTAAGAGCTGTGAACATGGGAGCTGACTGAGCCACTTCATCCCACTTTCTAATGATATCTCCTACTGAATAATCTTCAAAGAGCTTCAAAGGCTTGACCCAAAGAGCCACCCTAACATAAATAAGTTCTATGATGGCTTCCTTACTTTTTTCTTTATCATGAAAAACTCTTTGATTTCTTTCTTCCCAAACCGTCCAACAAACARCAGCTCTAGMACAACTCCACAATATTTTCCYTCTCTTTTTTAATCCCCTCACTGTTGTGGAGCTAAACAAGCTTTGCACATTAGAAGGGGAGGTCCACCTGCAACCAAATAAAGAAAAAAACCAACACCAGATATCTGAAACAAAAGGGCAAGAAACAAAAAGCCATTCATCTATGCTCCAAAACATGCATGAGGAAAAAGATCAATTATTATATTAAAGCCATTAGAGATGAATGAAAGAAGAGGTATGCCTGCTTTACTTCTGACAAGAATTCAGGATTTGGCAATGAAGCAATATGCAGTTGGCTATTTTGAATTGTTTTGAGGTTTGGGCAGGTACATCAATTTCCAAGCACTTCCAAAGTTCCAAGAGAGTTATATTTCAGTGAATAAGTTTGCAGCATCTCTAGGAGCAAGAGTTTTTCCTGAGGACTTGAGAGAAATTTGATCCTTGGGGAACTCAATATTTCTGTTAGTGTTTGTATTTTTACGGGTTCAATGGTTTCTTATGCTAGGCACATTGAGTTAGTTTCTTCCCAATTTTCTTTCAGGAATGTAAAGAATAAGAAGAAACATATGAATTTTGTTAGGATGCATTTCATTATCACCCTGAAAGCGGTTGGACTTCTCTTTTAGTCTCTTTTAGTTTATTTCAATATAATGAATGTCTTAAGATTTCACCTATTATGCATATTTTAGGTTCATTTTCCTTGGGTTTCAGGTGATTAGTACCTCAATGTTCATGGTATCATGTTTCAAGATTCTTTTTCAAGGGTATGCGTCTAATTGTTTTCCATGTCCTTGATCAGATTGACAAGCTGCAATCTACTTTTCACCAGTGGGAACGTGCCCCTTCAAATACAGGAGAGCAAGTTCATCTTACAAAAGAGTTGCTTGCCAGCTGTGAAAGCATTGAGTGGCAGGTACTTCAGCTAGTATCATAATATATTCAGCTGTTGTCAGACCTCCTGCCAGTTTAAGTGGGGGAACTCTGAATAAACTATATGAACATTGGGCATATACTTAAGTACATGCATGCAATCTTTCTTCATTCCTTTAACCAACCCTATATCCAACTCACCAACAATCAAAGATTATACTTGTGCTTTAGATGTCTAAGAGCTTTCTTATTTTCCCACTTAGAACCCCCCCCCCTAAAGGGTGTGTGCATTTTATGCTTATTTTTTCTATTTACCAAACCCCTTTTGTGGCTGCTGAAAACCTATTTTCTTGATAGGAAGGTGGATGAATTGGACAAAGCAATTGCTGTAGCAGCTAGAGATCCTGCCTGGTATGGTATTGATGAAATTGAGCTTGACAAACGGAGAAGATGGACCAGCATGGCTCGCACTCAAGTATAATCCTAATTCTCTTGTCTGTTTTTATGCAATAGTTATAGCTCTTGAGTCCATCTGAACCAAAGAATCCTTGGACTTAAGATATGCATTAGTTATTTGAATATCTGATTCAAGTTGTTTGATGTGTTCTTTGCTTCATTATTTTATTTTTTAAATTTCAAAGCTTTGTTTTGTAGATGCTAAAAGATTCTAACATTTCATTAGGTGGCTACTGTCAGGAAAGCTGTTGAAGCTCAGAAGGAGCAAAATAGTACAGTAACCAGTGGTCTTAATGGAACACGTCAAGAGTTGATGAGGCTTCCAGGTGATCGTTATACAGCCAAATCCCAGTATATGTCTCAAGATGATGATGATTTCATAACATCAGAATCAGATAGGCAAATGCTTCTCATAAAGTACAATTCTTTCTTCCATCCTTATTTTTACTTTCCCTTACTTGCCTTTCATCTTTCTTTGTTGAAATTGTTACTCTTTTCCTCTCTTGCCTTTCTTCTTTTCTTCCACGTCAAGGATATGTTACTGCATTCACAGGTATGCCTTAGATTAAATGCAACTGGCAAAAAATAAATTTAGTTGATCTTTAATATGTTTTATAGGCAGCAAGATGAAGAACTGGATGAGCTTAGTGCAAGTGTTCAGAGGATTGGAGGTGTTGGGCTCACCATACATGAGGAACTCCTTGGACAGGTCATTATTATCAAAGACTGTTAGTTAGTTCCATAGATTAGCTAGGCGCATAGTTTCTTTACTTAGAGGATAAGGGTGACCATTTCTAGTCTGCCCTGCAAATTTCTGGGCTTGGGCCTAGATTGTGTGAGTGTGTGTGTGTTTATAAATTAAATATTTTATTTTATTTAATAAAATACATTTCATTTATAGGCCTGGTCTGACCTGAACCATGGTCACCCCTAGGACACTTGCTTTTGTTTGAAATAGATTTTTTTGAATAGTTTCAATGGTCTTAACTTCTTTTCTGTTTTAGAGATTGATGGAGGGACGTCAATCCTTCACACCCTTTGGCTGTATAATTTTTGTGTGTAGCTGATCACTCTTATATTCATCATATTCTTCTTCTGTACATTATTTTATAGGGTTTCATCCCTTCTGTATCTTAGCATGACACTTGGTAGTTCAACATGACAACTATTAATTAACAACAGCTCTCCCTCAAAACCACACGCACATGCTTTACATGAAAGATGCAAAAAGAAAGACAAATCAAAACAAGGAAAAGAAGAAAAATTGAGATAAAGAAAATTAGAAATGACTGCATTTTCTATTACGCAAGCCATACTTTCATCACCATCACCACCACCATCATTGTTGTTACGGTTATTGTTATTATTATTATCTGTCTTGTTAACTAATTTTCTTTAAATTATCCCTGACTAGTATTTTTTTTTTTTTATTGTTACAGGAGAAAATCTTAGAGGATTTAAGCTTGGAAATGGACAGCACTTCAAATCGTCTTGATTTTGTTCAGGTTGCTCTTCACATCTAGTTGTTTTGAATTTTGTGCAGTGAGAGGTTAACTATAATTAGGCGTCAAAAAAAAAAAAAAAGCTATCCAATTATTTAAACCAGATACAGTCATTAATAAACTAATGGAAGGGATTTTTTTTCCCATTTCTTGCAGAAGAAAGTAGCTATTGTAATGAAGAAGGCGAGTGCTAAAGGCCAGATTATGATGATACTGTTTTTGATAGTTCTGTTCATTATTCTCTTTGTTTTGGTTTTCTTCACCTAGCCTAACAAGGGGAGTCCAGTTTATGCCGATCTTCGTAGCAATGAAATTGTAGAATTCGAAGCTGGATATATGAAATGGTTGCAGATATGGCTTACAAGTCACCACCTTACAATGGTGTGCGATCAGAAATCTGCTTTCTGAGTGACCAACGACCACATTTTTCACAAAGGATGGAAACAAGTTTGTTGGTGGTATAACCAGATATTGTTGAAGGACAAATTCAAAATAGGCTTAATATGATTTGTTCTCTCCTTACATTTTCTTTACACTTTTTTTTAGTATTAAGAGGGTTTAGATGCGTACTCACTCTACCCCTCCCATGACCCCGTATAGCTGGGACCAGCGTTTAAACTAGCAGTACAAACGATTTTCTAACGGCAAATTATTATTTTTTGGTTTCAGTTTAATATTTAATCTGTTAAAGCCTCCTAACCCTCAAATATTAGTACCTACCGATACAATATGCACGATAATATACAATGCAAAAAGTGCTTTTTTCTCTTTCATTTTTTCAACCATCAGATACCGAAAAAATGTAAAACACGAAGTGCTTAAACTTTGAAGATGCTTACCAAGAAAGAAAAACGTTGAAGATTTCAGAAAATTGAAAAACAACTTTTTGGGTTTCGAACTACTCTAGATTTGTGGGAATTTATCTAAACTAAACGAATTCATATATTTCCATTGATTTTTTTCCCTGTAGAAATATTTCCACCGTATACTACTTACGACTGATGCTTTGAATCATATATATTCCCTATGCAATGGCTGATACGTGTGGACATGGCTACAACAATCGGTAAGTATATCAATTCTTGAAAGGGATAATTGCTGTTTGAATTTATACATGCTTGTTGACCATTCAGTTGAGATTAACAAAAAAAAAAAAAAGGCTCAGTTTGGGAATAGTACAAATACGAACAACAGTGCACATGTTTATTGTAGATATTTGTATTTGCACTCTTTTCAAAGTTAAGCTCAGTTTTCGTGGGCATTTGTATGCATAAAGACTTGCAAAAGCAGGCATTGATTTATGTGTGCGCCTACTATTGGGGAAGTTTCATTTTAATGTTTCCCCCAAAAGGTAGGTGTTTATTTACTGTTTTGCTGATGTGGTGTCTAGTGGCGCTTAAGTGTTAATAAACGGGTTTATTATTATTTTTCTCGATTTTACAAACAAATCAAATACAAAAATTTAGTGAATAAACGTCCACGGTTCCAAACACATACAAAGCAAAATCCAAAATAAAATTAAACAAGAATTTGCATTTTTTACTTTTGAACTCCCATGCATTTGTACTGCAACCAAACACAGCTTAAAGTCCAAATATGTTAATTCTTAACATGAAGAAATAGATTCTTATTCTAAAAACAAAAAGACGAAACTAATGTTAATCTTCTTCTTCAAACCAACCGAAACCCTAGATTATTGGGAAGAGTGTTGAAGAAACTTTTGGTGCCATTCATGGGATTGCATCCCAAGAACTAGAAACTTTTTTTAAAGACATGGAGAGGGATTCGAAAGCTTTGAGTACTAAAAAGAACCTAGAGGTACAGGGGAGGAATTTCAGGGGATTGAGAAGCTCGTCTCCGCCATGCTGCTATTTTAATTGCAGTTTATAGGTCACCTCAATTGTAAATGGGGGATAGTACTCTCTATACCATTATGTTTCTACAATCCGAGAAGATGAAGATGTTTCCTGTTCTGGGTTCTGAGTCTTTTAATCTTTGTAGCTCTGATTCAGATTTTTAGTTCTGGTCTGGTAAGGGATGTATCCTGGTCTGATCCAACCCCACAACAAGAAGAGATTCAGGACTCAAATCACCGAGGGAACACTTGCTTGGTCCTAACTTCAATTCAGATCCTAAACCACGGCTTTGATGGACTGCTGACCTCCACGAAAGTTTCTGAATCCGTCACTCAGCTTGGCGAGCTTGCATTGACAATCTGGATTTTTCCTTTTTATCTATTTTCTTTCCCTGTATCTTCTGATGACCCGAACGATGGTACCAGTGGGATGATAAAGGCTAAACAACTCGGACTAAATAAAAAAAATTTTATGCAATATCAACGGCCATTTCAAAACTCAATGACAATTTTCAGATCAAGGTGATTGTCATCCATGTTTATTGTTACCACTGGCACGGAAGTTGCAGTGGTGACTGATATCTTCAGGTTTGAAGAAGGTAACATGAAGGGGCAAGTTCGGTATTAAAAAATGACGTAAAGGTAAGTAATTATACTTTTTTTTTTAAAGATTTGTTTTGGTATTTAATATAACACAGAGATTGGCTTTCCATCAGAGCAAGCCAGTGCCCACACCATTCCAACCGCCTTTTGCAACCTTGCATTGAGAATATCTCTATGAAATAAAACACATAAACAGGGAGATATTCTCAATGCAAGGCTGTAAAGACTGCTCGGGCTTTGCCCTGACCAAAGCCAAATTCTTTACAATACAATTCACAGAGATTAGTGGTAACAGATTTTGTTTGAGATTTTTTTTTTTTAAACCTGGATGCAATTAGCCTTGGATTTGTATAAATAGTGCATGACTGAGTTGACCATCCCAATCCTTATAAAACTATTATAACATCATTATCATCATCCAAATCTCTTGTCCAATTCCATTGATCTTACACCACTGTTCCAATCCTGGATGAAAGTGAAGGGTTGTTTCTGGTTGATAATTGGCACCAACACTTCTGCCTAACTCTCGTGGTCATTGATGGTTCTAAAATTATGTTTTATTTTAGGAAAAATCTATAATGCCAAAAGGGCATAGTACCAGAGCCTTGACCATTAAAAATGCACCCGAGAATATATATTTTTACTTGCAATATTTCAGGTTGGACAAATTTTATGAGAATATATATTTTTATCACAAATGCTTTGAGTTATCCATACAACATTGAGTACTATCTTCATGTCAAAGTTAGTATTCTATTATAAATGTCAACACCCAATTCAATATCTGATGTGGTGTGAGAAAACATTTGCAAAACATTGCAAGTGACAATAGTACCAAACACAACCATTATCATCATTTATTAGCATGCATTGAGCACATTGCACCCGACTTTGCAATACTTCGCATTAACAGCCCATTTCATGCCCGCAACATGGCTGGACCTTTTTTTGGGGAAACTTTCTCATGAACCAACAATTGCAGCCACACATTTCTATTGGAACAGTTTAATATAGCTAAGAAAGATCAATTAGGAAAATGGCTTTAAAATTAAATTAATTAATTGATGATGATAAAAATAACTTTGCAAATTTATAGCAACAGCTTTCACCCTATACACATAACCAACTTCTGTGCCTACATTAATACCCAAAAAAGAAGAGGCTTTTTTAACCCTTCTTCGAACTTAATCTGTTAACTCACCAGTGGCAATCTTTCCCCTGTTATGCCGTGAATGGAACGTGTACTCCATATATTCGGTCTTTGTCTAAGAGTAAAAGAGGAACTTCACTAACCGATTATCTTCAAAATGGCGTATCAATTGCTGGGTACTGAGCATGTATAATCACTCATGTAGCCATCTCGTCGACTTCTGAGTTAAACACAAAACTTGGAAATGTTGTTGTTATGTCCCTGCATTGTTCATGGCAGAAAATATTTAGGTTTTACTTTGTTTTCTTCATTTCAAATGCAAATTAAGTGAAGCAAAGCCTGAAGCGATAAACCAAAATTTGTACTCTGGTACAACTTACCTGAGATAAGGTAGGGTCATAATCTTCATCAACGATGGGTTGCGATAAACGAAATTCTGCCATTCAGATTTATCAATCTTCCCGTCCTGATCTATATCAGCATCCAAGAATGTCTGACAAAATCCAAGATTTCAGTAAACAAGAGAGCACCCTGTGGGGGTTGGGGGGGGGGGACTTAGCCTTAACATCGCCTTGTAGACTTTCCAGTTGGGCCAGACCTCCCAAAGCCAAAAGTCAAAGCGTGGAAGCCCTCCCAAAATGGGCAATAATTTAAACAACAGACCAACACTGATGTGCTGTATGCTCATTCATCATACTAACCAAATGATCGTTATCCTTGTTTTAAAATATTTTGTTTAATAGAACTAAATGATTTAACCACCTGTACAATTAGACCTTGGTTTTCCATGGGGTGAAGTGCTTAATCTGTCATGTCCTTTTTGAATGTTCAATTAATTGGAAAAATCAGATATATGGGCGGTATTATGGTCAATCAATTGGAAAGTCCATAATAAGATGACCATTCATCAAATTTTCCATCAAAGACATGGATCACCAATAGAATAGGTAGGGTACTGGCATATTTTCAGCAATGACAATGCACCTTATCAAGTATAGCCTCAATAGTCTCATCAGCCAATCTCATTTCTGATTCGCATAGAAGTGCAATTAGCATTTGCTTGACCTGCAAAGAAGTAAGAAAATGAAACAACAATGACTATCCTCAATAGTCTCTCAACAGGTACTTTCAAGCTGGTCTAGCTGTAATATTGAGTTTTTGCATGCATAGAAAACATCCATAAAAAGGATGATGGAGATAAGGAAACCAAAAGAATATCTGAAGAGATAGAAGACGGATATATATCTTCACTTTGATCAAGATCAATAAGAATATATAAGAAGGTTGATCAAAATGAAATTCATAAAAGGGTGGAAAAAACCTTGTAAGTATGGGTGCAAGCGAGCCGAGCCAACTCACGAGTTACTCGGGCTTGGCTCGATAAATACTCGAACTTGGCTCAAAGATTATCGAGTCAATTGAGCTTGACTTGAGTCGAGTAGTTAGTCGAGCCGAGTTTGAGCTTCGCAATACCTGGCTTGAGTAGCTCTGTGAGCCTAATCAAGCTTCTAATAAAATATTATTTTCAATATATTTTTATTTCTAATATAAATAAATATTATTTTTATATTAATTTATTTATGTTTATAATCAAGTTTCATAATATATTTTTATTTATAATTGGCTTGAGCTGAGTCAAGCTTGAGTAGCTTGCGAGTATCAACTCAAATTGATTTCGAGTATGAAATTCATAACTCAGTTGAGTTTTGAGCTTTGAGCTTCTCAGTCGAGCTTGAGCTCAAGCCAATCCAGAACATGGCTCGACTCAGCTTGATTACACACTCCTAGGCATAAGACATTCAAAACATATATGTATTGTGCTAGGAGAAAACTATAACCATTCTCTTACCAAGGTAAGGGTAGAATTTTCATACGGATAAAAGTTAGGGTTCCCATGCCTCTGGTTTTGTACAACTCATAAAAAAGAAACCAATAAATATAAATACATAGTACTTACCTCCTGTCGCTCAATAAATCCTGTTCCATCCAAATCATACAGCTTGAATGTAACTATAACACCATATTAAATTTAGGAATTAGTAAAATGGAAACATCACCAAAGAAATTTGGAAATCAAGGGTAATTACTAAATCTTGTAAACCTACAGTTGATTTTGTCTTCTTGAGGAGCATTAGGATGGAAGACATTAAGGGACCGAACAAAGTCACCAAAATCAATCACTCCCCTTCGCTTGACATCAAACAGGTCAAAAATCTGTGTCACAGAAATTAAAATTCATAGCAATTCAATTGAGGATTACCACAATAGTTGATTTCTTATAGATTGTTAACCACACTAAAAATGGGTGGATTTAATTATAACCCTGTTTTGAACAATTCTTCAGCTCAATCAATATCCAAATACTGATCAGGTGAAATAATTTTATTAGGAAACAGAAGAACTAAGCTTCCTACAGGCATGGTGATGGGGATCATTCTAAGCCCTTAAATAACTATTTTGGGTGGAAGAAAATCAACAAGTTTTGATTTGACAAGTTGATAACTCTTGGGATTTATGCTAACTGGACTCCAATGCTATTTTTGTCATTTTAATTTATTGTATGAGCTCCATTCAGTAGGAGTCATTTGTCCAGTCATTCTAATAGGGAGTTTATTATGTTATTTTCTTACTTTTGGAGTCCAGTCGCGTTTTCATAATTATGAACAGTATCCCACTTATAGAGTGATTCCATTGACATCGACATTCCAGGGTGATTATAGGTCCCCTTGGAGTGAATCATTGGGTTTTCTCCTTATTTCTCTAACGTTTTTCAAGATATTAACTATTGCACACATCTAACAACCAACCAAATCTCAAGTTTGGGATTGTTAATAGACATGAAATTTCAGAAATTATAATTTTTCCTTCTGATTTTTCTCCACTTTCTTTCTCTAAAACCCTAGCTGTTCTTTTTAGAACTCCTACCCAGACAATTTAGATCCCCGATCTAACTGAATCACCCTCCACATAACTCCAATAGAAATAAATCTACAGAATTTCAGCCCAAAATTTCCTGTGGAACTCAAGTTATTGAAGTTTCTTGCTTTCTTTCTGTGAACAAAGTCTGAAATTTCTAAGATTTCAGACCAAATTCCTTTTTTTAAAACAGCAAGTTAACCAATTGAAATTTCACTTTGAATTCTTACTTAGAGCCGCTTGCTTTATTCAGCTCTACATAAGACATGGCTTAGCATGCTTCACAGTTGTATCAGGCACATTACTCTTTCTTGTAAAGATGAGAGATTTTTTAGGTTTTGACTCCCAATAAAGAAGAGGAACAAAGTAAGATGAATTTCTGAGTTTTGATACGTTCTATATTAATATAGCCAAGTTGGTAATTCCACAAGCATGTAGGATTAATTGTATCATGTGTTCTTTTATTGGGGATGTGTTCCGATAATAGTAACTACAACAGTTGCAATTGTCCCCAAGTAGAGCACAACATTGTCATCAATTAGCCTTTTGCTTTCCTTGAACCCCTATAATGTATTACATGCATAAGTGGAAGCCCTAGAGTCAATACACCAGGATGCAAAAATGACCAACATATTGGTTTCTATGACAAGAGATTTGAAATTACCTTCTTTGTTTTTGCGGGATTCCAGATATCAAGGAAAATTCCTCTTCCAGTGCCCAGTTTGCTTACAAAAGTGTCATTCATTAGATGACTTGTCTCTCTTCTGCTTCTTTTGTTTGCCTCACTTTTTCTAAGGCTTCTTCTTACCCTTCCTTTTCTTCCTGTTAGATTTTCCACCACCTTTAACAAGCATGGCTACCCGCTTATCCTTTTTAATCAATTCTTCAACACTTTGCAACATATTGTTGAGCTCCTACAAGCTAACTTTTAGTTTGTTTATGTTATGGTTCATGACAAACTGATTGAAGGACGAGGGTAAAGAGTTCAGGACGGCATCAGTCTTGGTGTCATCGTCAAGTTTGGAGCCAAGAGCCTCAAATGCATTTATATAACCTATCATCCGTATGACATGGTTATGAACTGGTTAGCTCTCTCTTGCATTGAACTGGACCAGATTTGAAACCAAACAAAGTGGGAGATGTGTACTTGATATGGATACCACAAATGCAGATCCCAAGGTGGAAGTTCACGCTCAAATCAGTCCTAAAACCAGCTTCCACTGAAGATGGCGCAATTTATAGGTGAAGCTGATTCAACAACACAATTTTCAGCAAAACTACAATCCAACTGCTTGGGTTGAAGTAGGGAAGGTGAGCCTGAAATTCCTCTGAATTTTTCTTGGAAAAATCAGAAGAAAACTTATATAAATCAGTCACAGATAGTTGCTGTCGAACTAGGAAAAAACTAAGAGACAAAAGGGTGCAGAGAGAACCAGAAACTACAAAAATATGAAGTTGTCTTGGACTAGTCCACCCCCTCCTCTTTTATAATCTCTCATGGAGCTATCTCCTAATCTAATTAGGAAATAATCTAGATTTAAATTAGATCTGGATTCTAATTAGAGATATACCTTCTTATAAGATTAGGTGCTCCATACCCAGATCCAACCCTAGATTCGCCCCATGGAATTAAGTTGTCATGTAACAGCTTAATTAATTATATTAATTATGGGCCTTAGGCCCATCAACTATAAGGCCCACGACCCAAGGGTGTTGCATGACCAAATTAGGACTGATTTGAATGGTGTGGGACCCTACAATGACCTCAAGTAAGTTCATATGGGTTTGACCCAACCTCTTTGAAAAGGTTTGGCCGATTTCACTGTTAAACGTAGTGAACCCCTGAGCACATCACTATGGGCTCAATATAGGCCCAACATTTACACTTAAATAATCCTTAAATTTAGCAATCCTATGAAGATCCAAGGATAATGGACTAAAGTAAGATAAAGCCCATCAGGTAATCAACTTTGTAATGGTCTCTTACACAACCTCTCGGCCCATAATGATCAAACACTACTCGATAAGCCTCTCCCCTGGCTGTAAAGTGCAGTGTCACTCTCTACTTAGATGAATCCCAAGAATAAAACCTTTTGCAAACATTTTTCATAAAATATTAATATATATCATATAAATAAATTTTGCAAAACCAAATATCAAACACAATTGAAATACACTACCGGTAGTTTAGGTTTCCATTAAAGACAGTGTATACCCTATCATTCACTTTGTCCGACAAAGGGGCCGATCCTATCACTATGATCACCCACTCAAGTGAATTCTCAAACTGCCCCAACATACCCAAATTTTGACCCTTGATGAATCTCACTGATTGGCATATCAAAGACAACTCAATCCAACACCTAGTACAATACCATAATCAAGTGTAGGGGCTGTGTAACTTTCTGATTTTGCCCATCAATCTCCAAGGTTCAAGACATAATTGGAAAATGGTGCGAGTTTAGTGTTTCATCCAAACACACAAGGCATGTGCTTTGGGTCTAACCCTAGTAGTTGAGATAAGCTGCCCCAACTTCTTTGGTAGAACATCAGTGTCAGCCTTGGTAGGATAACTCCCAAATTCTATCCAACAACTGAGAACATTCTAAACTAACACGAGTCTCATAAGTGTCTAGTTTAAGGGGCAATTACATAGAAATATACCGATATCAACATGGAACAATAATGTAATTTTATTCATTTACAATAAATGTATCTGTACATCAATTTGATTGAAGCTAAGGGCACACACTATTTAACACTTGCACCAAGAGTCAATAGTCAGCAATCTGTAACTTTTTAATTAGTTATGGATGAACTAACCAGAACAGGAGGAGGTCCTATAAAGCATGTTGTTTACCAATGATATGGTATTGATTGGTAAGATTAAAGATGAGTTAAATGCAAAGCTAGAACAATGGGGAGATGCTTCAAGACCAAAAGGTTTCAAGATAGGTTGAATTAAGGTAGATACATGTAATGCAACTTTAGTAAAAATATTAGTAACAATGGTAGTGCAACTAAGATTGACAAGAAAATACGTCAAGCTAATCACTTTCGGTACCTTGAATTAATTATCCATGAAGAGGGAGACTTTAAGATTGGTCTTGTGCATGAATAACCAATGAATGCACCCAATGAAGAGTGACTTGGTGCAAGTAGAAGGTTCTAAAAAAGCAAGAGGAAGACCAAAGAAAATGTGGCCTGAAGTGTTGAAAAATGATTTAAGGACTTACAATTTAAGAAAAACATGGCTCTAGAGAAAAGTGATCGAATATGATTTGTTTAATTGACCCCAAAGACTTGGGAATAAGGCTGAGTTTATTGAGTTGATTATTTTCAGAACCGCTACAACTGTTCAGTGGAAAGATTTCAGCACTTATTGAGAAATTAAAGAGGAATTCTTGTTGATTGAAAAGAATAAATATTGGAGGTTGATTTCAAAATCAAATTCTTTCATATGAACTTTGGACAGGCATCGACTCCCCCGTTTCCTCTATTCTCAAAAACCACTAAAATTAATTAGTACAAGTGTTTATTGTGAAGCTGATCCCATATAGTTGGAAAAAGGCTTCAATGATGATGAAGTGTTCAATGGGAAATGATGGGCAATCATGATTTGGTGGCAGTAACAATGAAATTAACTGCATCATTCGATTCTCTTTCTCTCGCATAGTAGCATTTGCAATCTGATCAGGCGTGGGTGAAGACTCTTCTTAGAAATGGAATTTGAGAGGACAGAAGTGAAGATTCTTGGGTTGTTATTGGTTGGATAATTTGTTACTAGAGTGGCCTAGGGAAATCTAGTCACTTCATTAGAGAAGCTGCCGAAATAAACATCTCATCATGATTTATCTAGGATATTAGGTCTGTTAATTTGATCAGTGATGGACTTTCTAGTCAAGGGTGTGATGTAGGACCAGCTCAATTCTAGTCCTTAGAAAATGTTGAATGGTCTTCTTGACATAGTTTTCAAGGCGCCAAGGTGAGGCTAAGTGACAGGGAGGCGCCTTTTCGCCTAGGCAATGGATTTTTTTAAGTAAAAACATGTATACTATGGTAGTTCCCTAGGTTCCATAATCATATTTCCTTAATAAATATACATAATTTTCATAAAAAAAAATAAACTTCATGTTAAAGTATAGAAAATCAACATATTCCAACATATTCATGAGAAGAAAAAGAAGAAAGAAAAGAAAATAAAAAAATATATATATAGGGGCTGAACCCCTATTTTTGTTATAGGAAAAGAAGAAAAAAAGGTGGAAGAAGAATAAGAAGAGATTAGTATATAAAAACACACAATTAGTAAAGAAAAATAAGAAAATGTGTTGATTGGACAACACTTTATGTTCTTCCTTGCTTATTGGTTCAGCTTTTGAAGTCTTTAAGGGTTCAATACAATGTTGATTAAACCCTACCAAATAAGAAAATAATAAAAAGAAATTAGTATATAAACACACAAAATGAATATTTTAGTTTAAAAATGTCTATTTTATAAGTATAACCTCAAAAAATTAAGAATATAAAAGTCTCTTATAACACTATAGAAAACTACTTGGCGATTAGGTGAGGCAAAGCCTCCAAGGGCGCCTTGTCGCCTAGGCGCCCGCCTAGGCACCGTCTTGACAACTATGCTTCTTGATCAAAGTTTTATGGCTGTTGATGGCTGTAATGACTTCTTGAAGGAATAAAAGAGAAAGAAGGGAGAGAAAGAAGAGAGAAAATACCTGGAATCACTCACCATAGCTAGCATAAGCTGAAGAAAACTCAATATATTTCATTGCCTTCATGTAAAACGTCCATACATATTTATAGACTCCAAACTCATAATAAACCTAGGAGTCAAACTGTTAGACTCATAATAGTCTTAGGAGTAAAACTGTTAGTCTCAATAATCCTAGTAGGATTCAGACTAAGTTGTCATATCCTATTTCAATTCAAAGAAGACTCGATAACTCTAATCCTACTTATGCAATGACTCTGAAATTTTAAACATAAACAAACTATAACTAAACAATCAAACCCTATTGGACCCCCCACAAAATTGCAAAAATTACAAAAATACCCCTACTGTCCAAAAATATAAAAATACAAAAATTTTCACAAAATTCCAATTTTTCCTCTTCAGCTCCTGCATAAGGGTGCCTCTTTACCTAAGTAGTTACACTGTTCTTGTTTGCTGCATATTTTGCAGTTTTAAAGGCCATTGTAGGTTGGAGTTTCAGAATGTACTTCCCTTGTCCCTGGAAGCTACGGCCATTGTACACTCTCTTCTTTTCTACTCCTATTTAATAAAGTTCTTTATTCCCACTTAAAGATGGCCTTGAAAAACTAAAATTACCTAACCCTGAGTTGAATGGTGCTTTCAGTTTATTCTTAGCTTGTCACCAACATGCTTGATTAACAAAATATCAATTAAATATGAGATCATGTAATCAAGATATGATACTTCTAAACTAAATGAAAAGGATATAGAATAATACCCGATTTGCAAAGAGGTTCTCCTTCTTTCTGTTCTTAAACAGAGCTAACTGAAATTCCTCCTGCGTGTACAGCAAGAAATAATGATTACTAGAGTGTTGGGTAAACAAAACTATAAACAAATATAGTTTTGAACCTGTTCATTTATAAAGCCAGAATACTACCAAGACATGTCAATCCAAGGAGGCATTACTGCAAATTCCAGAAGTCAAATGGAATACCAGAGACACTATTCACTGCCATGTTCACAAATTATGATAATACAAAGACACTGTATGAGTTATAACAGTGGCAATGCCCACCATAATGTTACAGATCATAATTCCATCCTACCTAAATACTTATCCAAGAGAACCATTCACTACCACACAGAATGGACACTTCCCTCCCAAGGACATCTATATGTTTCGCTACAATTCCAATGACCCTTGTCTGTGATTTTACAAATATTATAAATGTCTCATCTACACATTTGTCTCAGAGCTTCAAAGCATATTACTAGTAGACAAGATGCAATCCCTTAACCAGTCTCCTCTACCACTAAAAGAGAAATAAATGATGGCAGAGTATTCATTGATATCCCTATCACCAGTGTTGTGTGTTTCCCACATGTCTAACATTCTCTATCAGTAAGTAGTCTTATTTGTCTGCTAGTAGGCTTGGATTTTCCTTATCATCAGGTTGCATGGTGAGAATGATGAGTTGTGAGGTCATGCACCATGTAGCATGTCCTGGACACCAAGACAACTCCTTCATTGGTAGTCTACCTTTTTTTTTTATTGATAATTAACAGGATTCCATTTCGTCATCATCATCATCATTGAAGCAGTATCCCAACTATAGGTTTGCCAGGTTGAAGATGGGAGTTTTTGGGGTTGGGCCCATAAGAAAACAAAAGAATTTAGTAAAAGAAGAACGAGACTTGGGTGCAAGAGGCAGGAAATGTTAATTGAACAGTTGATCTCTTAGGGGTTGATAGTTTGGATGATGGAGTATGTTGTGTCATTATCAGGGGGGGGGGGATTTTAAGATCTTTGTGCTCATAGCGTTTTTTTGTGTATTCTGATTGGTATGATATTCCTTGTTGGAGGCAATGGAAAGCTTGTTGTAAGGTTGGGAACCTTGGTTGCTTTCATTTTCTTGTGGGTGATACTATATCACCACTCTTGTAACCCTATTTCAATAAATTTTTCTTTTTTTATTTATTATGAGAAAATATCTTTTTCCTTAGAAATAGCTGAATGACTAGACCTCACTGATAAGAGAATGGGCAAACCAATGGTTTATGGACTAGCTGGGAAAATCAAGCAGGAAAACAAAATAATTCTTGAACCATCCAGAGTCTCCCCTACCTCTAACCTAATTAGCATAGGATACAAAAACAAGGCCTTTAAAACCAATTAATAGTTGATAAAAGAAGATAGGACTTAATCTTAAGTGCTTGTTCAGGTGGACTCCAGGGGTTGCAAATGGTTTAGCTGATGCTCTTGGAAAAGAAAGGGCAACTAGGTAACTGCTGATTTAAGGGGCACCTACATAAGCGTGGTAGCTTATTTGTAAGAAAATGATATAATACAATTATGTTTGTCTTCTACACATCAAACAACATGGAATGGATAAATTTTCTTTATCAATCTATTAACAAAAACTGTTGATTATTACTCTTGCTTATCAAAACAAAAACAAAAGATTAGATAAGCATGACTTTAATTAGCTACAGCTTAATGGCTTGTCTGAAAAAGGAAAACAATAAAACATCTCCATAAATCACAATAACTCAGATAAATAAGACCAAAATGAATATGAATGCTCTATTGTGTGTTACCTTACTTATTAGCCCATCATCAATCACAGAACTGCTAATGCTCTTAAACAGTTCAAAGAGTGCTTCAACTTCGCTGACGCTGACTGGAAAATTATGATAAAAACAAAGTTGGCCAAGTTTTTCTAAAGCATTAAATCAACACCAGAATAACCACATTTCATCTTAGGACTGATTACAAGATCTCACTTTCTGATATTGGACACAGATAAACAAGAACACTGACTTTTCATGTTTATAAGTACTAGAGAAAGATTTTGTCCGAAGACAAGTCCCCATGATAGGAATATCTGCAGGAGCTTTAGCCACAAAAACAACTTTCCAATTTTCAGATGGTAACAGGAAAAAAATCAAAGGATATGTTGCAGTAATACAAGTCAAAAGGTATGTAACAAAAACTATAACAGCTGTAAGGTATAATTGTATTAACTAAAATCAAAAGTATACATGGTCCTCTGTGCAAAGAATTTTTGTACAACAACCCATTCAGTCATATTACAACTGTAAAGACTTTTACTTGGTTTTTGTTGATTTTATTTTTATTTCCAGGGAATTTTTCTTATCTTTTTATTCCACTAAGCATGTCTATAGATTCATCTGATTTAATATTAACTATATCAATTCATCAAAGTAAGAACCTTTCTCCTAGCTTTAGAGAAACATTCAATTAATTAAATCATAGGAATGCATTCTTAAAATTGCAGAAGATTAGGTAAATGCAGTGTTGTTTATGTCCTTAAATCAATAAAGATCTGCAACCCCAACAGTAATAACAATGAAAAGTCGTTAAATGGTTGGCAAGAGGAGGTGGCTCTGGGGGTTGGAGATCCTTCAAGACATGAAGCTGAATGCAATGGTTCATTTTTATTGGGAAAGATATACAATCACCATGTCTTTTGCCAACCTTTTCTCTGACATGCAAAGCAATTATTTCCTTCCCTTGAAGTTCTAAGGTTGTCCTAAAAATTGCATATTCATTTACAAGCCAGGAATTGACACTCATATGCAAATATGAAACGATCTGCTTCATTTTCTTTGTTTAGTACATAATTTGCTTCAATTTCATTTTACCAAACTGGCAATGGACCATCCAAAATCCTTCCCATGTGGGATGTTTACTTTGTGAAGAAAAGAGGAAGGACTTCTAACTCATAATTCTTGGTTCTGGCCACGGGGGAAAAGGAAATTCCTCAATGCAATCTCCGGTGCTTCAGGAAATCAGCACGGTAATTGCTACTTTAATTTGATTAATGAAGACATTAGCATGATCAACTACTTCGGCATTTTTCACCAGGCAAAGGTGATTTAAAACTCTCTTTTTATTCTCTTCCTTCTATTGGCAATGCGAATAAGAAATCATTCAAGACTAAAATTTTGTGTTGAATAAGATGACAAAAGTGTACAACTCGAAATAATGCAATTTAATGTGCCAAAAAATACGCATGCAAGAACAGCCCAAATAAAAATCTTCAAGGATTTGTTATGACTTACATGCTGTTTGAGATGCGAGAATTACAGGATCCTCGTGTCCACGGAAATGTTTTCTAGATTTTGAAGTGTAGCAGCCCATTTACTTTACCCAAAGCAAAGGCCACTACCGGACAAGCCTAGGCTTCACTGTAATTAATTAAAAAGCATCTCATCCTTGCAAAAATAACCCAAAATGAACCTCATCATCGTTATTAGTATTAAATAAATAACACGGAATTATAGGTAAAAGGTCTCAAGTTCAAATCATTTTCGATCAAAAAAAGAAAAAAAACACGGAATTATCAAGAATTTGATACAAAAGAATTGATTGAAAACGGAAAACCTTGATAGTTTCGGTTCTAAAAGCATGAATATGTATAACAAATAAAAATTAAAATGAAACAATAAAAGCAAATCTTGCTTTTAACAACTCCCAATCTCGAGGCGTATTTCCCGCGAAAAAAATATTCAGAATTTAAACAAGAACAACAAAATGAAGAACTCCAACAAAGAATTCAAATAAAAGGTAATTGAAAATTATATCCCTCCACCACCATTGAATTAACAATCGTCTCCAAAACAAGCGCCAGAAGAGATGTCATAACGGAAGCAAAGTTCCAAAAAAGGAGAAAACACAACAAAGAAAGGAAAAAGAGTACAAAAACAAACGGAGAATGCAAAAGGTAGAAGCGGAAAGACCGAAACTTACAGGACGGAGAGATCGCCGGCGAGTGCCGGATTCCGACGGGATTGAGATAAAACAGGAGAGGGTTTTGAGTCGTTACGAGGAGGATATACAGTGAGATGTCCAAAAGCGTTTCACCGGATCACTTGAACGGCTCAGATTTTTCTGAACACAAATGCGGTCCGCGAATTCATCTCCTGTGTCAAGAAAAGAATCGATGGGCAAAATATAGCCAGCCAAGCGAGAACCGGTGGGAACTAGGAAATAATAGTCAGACGTACGCGTGGTGCGAATTATGCATCTCCCTCTTCACTTTTTGTTTTTGGAGTTTCTAAGCCCAACTCCCTACCGACCCCACAGCCCACGAGTTCGCAATGGCGATGCTCAAGTCATCAATGCCGGTGTAACGTTTCGGAGGAATTCTAAGCAAAACTACTACTGGCTGTCCTCCAACAACGATGGTGGGCCCACCAAAGTACATCACAAGCCGTCCCTACCTTTACCTTATGCGAGGATCGATGCATCTAAAGAGTTGCACAAGCTCGTTGTCCTCGTCCCCTTTGTGTTCTTCAACATTGGATGAAGACGCTACGTACTGAGACTTTTGGACCAGAACACAGGTGGACGCATTTATCAGCTAAATGGATGGTCAACCCAAAGTCACAAAAAAACAAATTTTGGTGGACACCTTTCCGGGTCGGGTGGGTTTGCATAGTAAGGGGCTAAGGGCCGACGCTTGCAGATGATCCCGAAAGGAAATCGAACCCAGTTGTTCTCCTCCAAATAGGGCGATACCAAATCCGCAGAACTGTTGGCTCTCTTATGGTCAGTGGGCTCAAATCAGACCTGTTCATGACCGGGTACTCGACGGGCTGGCCCAGCCTGCCCCATCCTTTATCGGGCTTGATATAGTTTTAGGTCTATGTTCTCGGGTTCAGGCTCTAACCACTAAGGCCGACTTTTTCGACTAACCCAAAAATATTATATAATAAAAATATAATATTTTAATAATATATCTCAATTATAGTCTTACAGGTATGATTTTTTAGTCGAGTTCACATCTTCGCCCCAGTGCCCCACAACGCCCCATCATAGTACCAAAACTGATGACATGGGAAGATGTTTCTAATACATGGCGGGGATGTATTGTATGATGGAGATATAAACTTCATCTAACATGGTACATTTCATACATTTACGGTGTTATATGGCGTTAGATATTATTGGTAGATTGTTGGTAAGTTACTTTTTTTATATCTAGATATTTTTTATTAATAAAAAATAAAACCCAACCCATAAACAGATTTAACTCAAATCGTACCTTGCTCAATCTAAGGCCCGATCAGCCCATTAAGAAGAAGGGAGTGGTGATAACTAATTAGTATCAATGTTTTAAAAATAGATCTGGAGTGAAATCACTTTGGCCACTAGTTTTTTGGGTTAGTAGTCTGATCATATGATTCGAATGAACAGTTCATTTTAATTAAAATATATATAATTAAAAAATATTAAAATAAAAATAACAAAAAATCATTGCCTAAATCGAATAAATTGATGGTTCAATCACCTAGATCAATGAATCATTGACCAAATCAATGATTTTTGGTCAAGGAATGAATTTAGGGGGTAAAAGAGAATCAGTTGCTTTAACGGTTATCGGATCAAATGGTCTGAATGTCTGAATTAACGACGGTTAAAAACATTGGTAAGTATTAACCACAATGGTCTGAAGAGTCTTAATCATGACTTTCTAGAAGGTCACCTGATGCTACTTTCATCTAATCGTGTTTAATTTCAATATTCAAAAAGTATAATACCCAATTCAGCATCATATTCAATTATCCCGGATTTGAATGTAAGTACTTGCATCCGATTAATGATCGGATCCGGTTAGGTTTTACCCATCCGATATAATAAAATCCAGAGTCCGATTCATGAAAAAACTTTATTTACAAGGGTTCTTCTTCTTCATTAATTTTGCAATATACCTTTGTTGGATTTTTTTGGGTTTATTCCTTTGTCGGATTGGAATATTCTATTGGCTTGACCAAATATTCAGTATTCGGTAAGCCGATTCTAATTCTGACTTGACTTTTTTGGTAAACAGGTAGATTGCATTTATTAGGCTCGTTTCTTAAGAAAACAGTAGAGAATTATTGATTTCCAAATTCTTTCAATAGCTTCTTCCCTGGAAGGAAGTGATTTTCAAAAGTGATTCATGACATTGACATAGCCCTGACGACGCACGTAATTAGAAACGAACCTTTTAATTTTTCGGAAAAATACCGACAGGTCCAATGCAGATTTCTCCCTTCTTTTGCTCATAAAAAAAATCGTATCTAAAAGCATTTATTTGACGTATCTATGCAAAACGGGGATTTCAAATCAGCCCCCACAAGATTGGAAATATCTTCCGATGATGACATCATTTGTGGGATTATCATCGGTAGATGTTCCTAATACACGGCAGGGATGTGCTGTGAGACATTGTGGGGGGCAATCTAGTGGGGGGTTGATTTGGTCTCCCTAACAAGTTGTATTTGTATTTGGTATAACCGCTGATTCTGCAAATGGATCGGACCGTCCTATCTGATTCGAGGTCTGATTACATGTATATATATACATGTTATTTATTTATTTATATAAATATATATAATATTATTTATATTACATTTTTATAAATATATATATGTGATGAAAATAGTTGAAAAGATGCTCGTGTTTTTTTTTATTTAAATTATTATATTTTTTATAATTTATTAATTAAAAAAAATAAATTAAATCAGATCAGATCTAAATATTCGATTTTCTCATCGGATTCAAATTCAAATCAATGTCTATTAGATATTTAGACCAAATTAGATTTGTTGTTCACATTATGGATCGGACTTGAATATACCCTAATTTAAAATTTTGAATACGATCCAATCCGTTTGCATCTCTAGTTTCTACTTGAAACGTTTTGGGTGGATTGATCAAATATAAACCGGCTACAATTATTATTTGAGGTTGTTTGGAATGGAAGGCTCTTTTTACAAACATCAAAGTGATGTTTTTTGCTCGGGTGAAACCCAATCATTCTAAATGAAGTGGTTCTCATATGTGATGTGACAATAAAATCTATTTAAAAACAAGAAAATTCCCGACAACTCACAATTAGTGATTCTAAAGAAAACAATTCCAGGCTATACTAATGGGTCAGGGCAAACTTGACACTTCACATATCAAAATTGAATCAACCTGAATACATGGTCTGAATTTGTATTATATGTCCCAAATATAATTGGGTCAGGATCTGTATTCCCCCGTTTAATATCTATTTTTCTTATGATGTATTGGTAAGATTTATTGGTGTTTTATAAATTACTTTTTTTTTAGTGCCTTCGACTTTTGGGCTAACCCCTCACATGCATTTTATCTTATTTGGTTTCACTTTTTCCTACAAATCTTGGAAAGCCAATACATTTGGAATCAAAAGCATAATTGAAATTGGAATGGTCTATTCTTATAGTTGGTTTGATTCAGACAGGAATAGAAATGAAAATTTTGATTCCGTCAAATTAAACAGTTGGAATCAGAATAACTCATTCCAATTTCAATTCCAAACCTCTATTCCCGCAAACCAAATGGAGCCTAAGTTTTCAAAGATAGTGCTTTCACACGCCTTGATCATGGCAAAGTGCTTTCATCCCAAACCTGATTATCAATAGTTAATTTCACAAAGTAAAAGTTTATCAAGGAAAATGCTCATCCAATTCCGCAACATACATAGTAGGTCTGAATTTCCCAAATCAAAATACCAAACAGGTCAAAGTTCCATTTACATAAATGGTATAATTCATTCATACATATTTTTCAACAAATATTATCATATCATGATTAATATTTGAGCTTATTAATTTAACAAATAAGCATGTTTACTATCAAATTACAGATTAAAAGAAAAAGTATCAATTACATAATTGTAATTGGATCTTATTGGGTTAGACTGATGGTCCTGATCACAACACTAAGGCTATGTTTGTATAGGTTTACCTGCATTTCCCTTCTTTTTCCTATTTTTTCCTTCAAACCAAACATAGCCTAAAAGTCGTGGGTTTGGATTAGGGGTGGATTCGAGCCGAGCTGAGCCAAATAGTACTAGGCTCGAGCTCGGCTCGAGTCAAGAGTTCATAAACTCGAGCTCGACTCGTTTTATATTTTATAAAAATATTTTATTATATATATTTATAAATATTTTATTATAAAAATATTTAGAAAAAAAATTTATAAAATAAAAATTATATATAATTTTTTATTTTATATTTAAAAAATTAATAATTATATATATATATATATTCGAGTCGACTCACGAACCTCACGAACCGAGCTCTAATAGGCTCGAGCTCGGCTCGTTTAATAATCGAGCCACTGAATTGGGCTCGATTTCGATCTCGGCTGAAACCGAGTCGAACTGAGCTTGAGCAGCTTGTGAAAAGCTTAGCTCGTTGCCACCCCTAGTTTAGATGTATCTTAAACATGAATTAATACATTCTGTTGTAGCCATCTCTAAACTGTCTATTAATGGTCACCAGTACTCTAGAAATGGATGATGGGACAAATTGATGGTTAGAGGGCATGCCATGAGTCTCATGATGATATACCCATGTTGCAAAGCTTCCCATTCTAATTATTCCACAAGAATAAATTTAAAATATTCAATTCTTATCTGTGAATATGCTAATTTTTTTGGGTAAATGCATTTATTCATATTCTTTGTTAAGAAATGTTAATACGTAAAATGAGGGAATTTTTCAAAAGAGTCGTAACTTTTGTATATTGATAAGGACATTTTAATCCCACAATAATTTGACCAATTTTCCTCCTCAATGGGCGAATATACCCACTTGGGAGAAAGGTAAAAACTAAACAAAAAAGTGGTAACAAATTTTACCCAAGGAAAAGTTCATTTTTCGTAAACTCCACACACTTCATTGCAAAAGAACATAAGAAAATTGATCAACTTCTCCATTGATAAACTCCCCCGCTTCAACTTATTGGCAAACAATTGAGCCATTATAAATTTTACATCTCAATAACTGATGCAAAATTTACACCACATTCCTAGGTGGCTGGGACCACATCACCTTGCTTCTCACATAAACTGGCCCTCAATTCTCACAATAAAGAAAGGGCCAACTACGAACCAAAGTAAGCCATAATTTACACCAATGCAAATACATATTTGCATTTCCACGGATTGACACCAATGCAAATGAAATTTGCACGGAGACAAACTGAGGCAAAAAGACGATTAATACGAGTCCAAATGACATTGTGGTTGACTCATTAAGAAGTGCTTTAAC